TGTGTAGTTACTCGGTGCTTTATTTTGACAGGCGCAGCGGCCGTGTGTTCCGTCGTTCGCCATGTTAGCCGTTAGCTTACCGGCAGACAGCAGCTCCGGCAGGACCGCGATGGGACGCAGCACAAATTTACCCCAAACAAATCAAACTACAGCCCGGACTGAGCCGCGGGTGATGGACAAACGATAGTTCCGGCGTTTAATGCAGCTTTGCGGTCTGCCTGGACACCGGCTGTCAAGCTAAGGCGGCAGACAGTAACTTAGCTCACTTGTTCTTCCCGGGAAGGAAGTTTGCTGTGGCGGAGGAAACATAATAGGAAAGCGGGCAGGGCCGAAACATCCCGACATGGAGGACTCCGGGTCGGCCCTGGAGAAAAATGTGGCCGACCTCACCGTCATGGACGTGTACGACATCGCCGCCGTGGTGGGCCAGGAGTTCGAGCGGATCATAGACCAGTACGGCTGCGAGGCTCTGTCCAGGCTGATGCCCAAAGTGGTGCGGGTGCTGGAGATCCTGGAGGTGATGGTGAGCCGCAGTAGCATCAGCCCGGAGACCGAGGAGCTGCGGCTGGAGCTGGACAAACTGCGGCTGGAGCGGATCGACCGGCTGGAGAAGGAGAAGAAGCACAGAAAGGTGTCGCACTGCACACAGACAGGCCGACCAGTGTCCTATTAGTACTGATTACAGCTGGAGGTCAGCCTTCAGTTAGTCTGAGACCAGTTCATGGAGGACTAAAGTGTATCCGGAGTAGCTCAGACTGTTTTCACCACAGGTGGAGGAAGTAGTCAGATTTGATCACCACCACTGTGAACATACACAGGATCATGGAGGGTCAATATTCCCTGAGGAAAATCAACAACCACTAGAAAAATACCCAACATACTTTAATGAAAATGTCATCACACTTCAAAAATACACCGTTATTAGTAAATGTCATGCACTGAAAATGTTTCCTAAGTAAAAAATACCAATATCATGGTTTAAAAAATAATCCTAAAAAGTCCTGCATTAAAATATTACCTCAATAAAAATATGAATAACACTGTTAAAAAAAGAAAAGAAAAAAGTATTAAATTTACAAGGCGTGCATTGATAGTAATGTTTAAGTAAAAGTCTGCATTAGAAATATCAGTGAAGTAAAAGTAACTAATTCCCCACTAGAGATATATAAACATATAGATCTATTACAAGTAAAAGTTCTGCTCTGAAGATGTGTGTTTAGCTAAAAGTAACAATACAACAGTAAAAATATGAAAGAATTCTGCATGAGAAGTTTTATTTGAGTAAAAGTACCAATGCCACAGTGTGAAAATGTCCAATTAAAATGTTCAAAATTCAGTACAATTAGAAGTCCTGCTAAATGTAACTTAAGTAAAAGTACAAATACCATTGTAAAATACTGCATTACAAGTAAAGGTATTGTTAACTTCAATAGAAATACCAGTACTACAGTAAAACATGTAAAGTCCTCCCTTGAAATGTAAATTAATTAAATGTACCAACAACTTTTAATATCTGTTTATTACAAATAAAAGTCCTGCAATAAGGATGTTTATTTTTGTTATGAAAAAATACCAGTACCACCTCAACAAAAGTTCTGAAGTTACCAAAATAATAGTTGCAATACGACACTGCTCCATGACATCATTGCAGGTTGAAGTCTTTTATTTCAAGTTGGATTTAAACAGAGGTACCAATACCACACTGCAGAAATACTCTATTACAAGTGAAGTCTTGCATTTAAAATGTTGCTTAGGGACAAGTGATAATTCTACACTGTGAACATACAGAGAGAGAGAAAAGAAAGGAAGAAAATAATAATAGTTATCAAGTAGTTGGTTCCAGCCTTAGTGAGCAGCATGTTATTGATGTAGCAGCTCCAGGAAGAGCTGCGGCAGTTTTCACTACACAGTTAGTGATGGTTCCCAAACTAGGGGTTGTGGTCCTCCAGTGGGTCACCAGATAAATCTCATGGGTCGTGAGGTGATTAATTGTGTTGAAAAGAAAAAAAAAATCTAAGTTCTGCTACACATATTTGTATACATTTCTGGTATTTTCTCTTAACATTTGCTGTTTTATGACATGTTAGACATTTGTATTTCTTTAAGCGTTAAACTTGCATTAAATAAACCATGTGAGAAGTCAGTAAAGTAAATCTTTTCTGACATGTTTCCTGTAAAAGTAACTATAGCTGTCAGACACATTTAGTAGAGTAAAAAGTACGATGTTTCCCTGTGAAATTGCAATTTAAAGTAGTATAAAATGTAAATACACTGCAGATAAGATCACAGTGGTTCCAGTGTGGACGCACTGTGGGAATATTTTGTGGCTTTAAATGGGCCCGAGACTCTGCTGCCCAGTGCTATAAAAAAGTTCATGTGTCAGTTTCTTGTGACAGTGACTGAGTCACCGGTTGACTGATTAACTGCGTCTCATGACTGTGATTAAATGTCTGCTGTGACTGAGAGGCTGTACACAGGCTACATGAATCTCACACGAAAAACAGCAAAAGAAAAAAAAAGAAAAACATGGTGGGAAAAAAGCCAACACAGAGGTCAGAGGACGGGAAAGCAGGGAAAAGATGGTGTGTGGTTCACCAGAAGTTTTCTTTTTTCATGCTAGTGGATTCTAAATTAAAAGCTATCACATGCTCAATAGGATTTGTGCATGCTGAGTAAAACGTCTGGTCTCCAATAAAGAATAGTGATTAGAATAAGTACAAAATATTATTAGAAAAAGAAAAGTAAAGAATAAAAAATCTGAGCATACCAGGGGTTAGTCTGCTGCAAGCCCTTTCTTGGTTAATAAATGTACATTATCTGTTTATAATGTTGTGAAATAGTGTCACTAAACTGTGAAAAATACCCGTTATAATGACATGTTTACAGTCAGCTCAGGCTGTCATGATATCAGATTTTCACAACATTTTCTTTTTCTTTTTTTTCTTTTTTTTTTAATATAGTCAAGCTTACCTTTAACTTTTTGTGTGTGTTTTGTCTCTTGTTTTGACAAATCAATTCCACTGAATACGAGTGTAGTGAGATGGAGAGAAAGTTTGTGACTGTTGCTGCTCTGTGTGGTCTTCATATGTTGGAGAGCCAACCAGAGAGTTACCGTCACTGAGTTGTTTATGATATTGTCATATATGTGTTATCAACATCGTATCAGTATTTCATTTTTTAAATCTCACAGTTGACCGTCAGTACTGGTGAACACCCCTATAGCCAATATTCCAAAACCCACAGATACTCAGTTTACTGTCATATTTGACAAAGAAAGGTATAAAAAAACGTAGCTGTATTAAAAAATAGTATCTTGGCTCATTGTCTATTTATGCTGTGCAGGTTTCCAGTATATGTAAACATAAAATGCCCGTGTCAGAGTTGTCCCACAATAAAACTTTGTAGGACTGTTTTTACTTGATTGATTAATCTGCCGAATATTTTTTCTGATTAGTTATTTTAGAACCCTGAGTTATTTAGGGTGCTAGTTGTAAGTAATTAAAGTGATCATTTTGTCATTGCATGAAAAACAGCTGGATGAAACTAACAGAAATGTCATATTTCTGTCAATGTCTTTGGCTGATTGCACCTTCTGCTGCAGTGATTTAATGGCACCAACTGTTTATCTTGAAGCGCTTAACTTTTAATATTTGCTTGGCTACACTTTGCTGAGCATCCATTGACATTACCATCAAGGATTAGTAGCAAAGACAAACACCACAGAACGGCTGTGTGGGCATGATATGATATGAGGAAAGCACAGTAACTTGTAGGAGGCCATTTGTTGGATTTACAGCAAAAAGGTGGCGTTTAAGGCGCTAATGCAGCTAATCTTAAACTACAAGGCATGAAGTGAACAGAAAAAAAACATAATTACGTAATTGTTGTTTGTATGGCACTTTTTAAAAATCCTTGATTGTTTTGCCTGTAAAAAAGAAATAGAAACAGTAAAAACAATTAAAAGGCCAGTTCTTTGTGTAAGATTGCAGGTTGTCATCAGGTGTCTTTTGTTTGCTGGGAAACACTTAAAACATTCATTTTAGTCTAAAGTAGCACCAACAAAGTAGCACATTCTCACATTTGTTTTAAAAAAAAAAAAAAAATCATTTGTCAAGATAGTTGCTGATTCATTTTTTTTTCTGATTGACAAAAGGATTTTTCAACGAACTCCTGAAACTTTTACATCATCTGTTTGTAAATTGAATGTTTTTGGTTTGTGAACAACACAACAAAATGACAACAAAAAAATGTGTGTTGTTTTTGTTTTTTGTTTTTTTTACATATTTTTCTCATACTGCAAACACAGTGTACCATTTGTAAATACAGATGACATGTATAACTACTGTAAATAAAGACAAGACTTAAACAAAAGATAAATATGAGAACAAATTACAAGGTTAGTAAAAAAAAAATCCCCCCAAAAAATCCACCAGAAATCATTCACTGAGCAGACAACTGATGTCTTTCTCTCTGTCTCTGACAGTATAGCATTCTAATTATCTAGAGAGTCCATGCTAGTTTCAGCTTTAGAAGTTTTTAGGAGTGCATTTGCCCAAAATGTTGTTGTTTTTCTCTCTTTTCTGGCTCTTGACTGGCTTGTTGTAAGCATGGCATATAATCCCAGCTCTGCATGGTGCTGTGAGTCATTTACATGGTGGCTGGCATGTCAAATTGTCATGTGTGTCCACACAATTGAGCTTTTCTCTACGTACAGATGGGTGACAAATTCAAGGGAAAGCTTGAATAAAGCAGTGGAAAAACGAATGCAGCTGCCTCCGTAGAGGCCACGGCGACGGGTGAAAGGAGAACTGAAGGGTTTGCTGAACGTTGAAACTCTAAAACCTCTAAAGCCCTTTTCCTGATTTCGGTTACTTGTGTCAGGACCGGTTCTCCTCTGAGTCATAGCACAGTCGGATCTGAACAGACATGCTCATTGATGTCCGATGCCATTATCCCCCATGTCAAAAATCAGCTTCTAAATTGTAGAGCAAAGAAGTTTCCGGTTACTGCTGGACCAGACAATCAGCACATTTTTCAGTTTTCTGCAGCATCACAGAAACACAGTGATAGTGTATGCATCACAAGAAGGAACTGTTAAATGCTAATTCTGCAAACTTTAAATACTACCAATTTGGAGAAATGTGAACAAATGAGAGTCCACAGCAACATTACTCTTCCTGTTGCCTGTTCCTGTTTTCCATGTTGCTGTATCAGTATTTTGAGCTCATGGGTGGTTGGGTTGGCCACAGTCACACTTTAAAATGTGTCCATTTTACTGACACACTTTAATTTGGGGTTTCCTGTAATTTGTCACCAATTTAAGTCATGTTGTGTTTTTTTTTTGTTTTTTCCTCCATAGAGGAAGTTTTGGTAGTTTCCAAAGAGATTCAAGCCTGGACAAAAGGAAAATGACATAAGAATTAGTAATCAGGTTTGTTTACTAAAACGTGAATCACATTTTTGTTTATCAGATCATCAGAAATGAAAGGAAAAGCAGCAAAGCATGAGGCAGGCTGGGCTAGCTGGTTAGCAGCGACTGAATTTAATAAAATGCTCACTTATAGCACCTTTAAAATGACACAGTACAGCTCAGTTTTTGCAGATATTTAGTCATAAACAAAAGGAAATCTTGACCAGATCATCCTGAGAGAAACGTCTTTGCCAAATTTCCTGACAATCTGTCTAATAAATGTTGAGCTTTTTTGCATACAACTAAGTGTGAACTAGAGCTCAATGATTATTTGATTGATTGTCAACTATTAAATTCATAGTCATTTTAATATTTAGTTAATCAGTTTGAATTATTTTTTTTAGAAAAAAAAGTCTAAATGATCTCATTCCAGCTTCTCAAATATGAATATTTTCTGATTTCTTTCCTCCTCTTACACAGTTAACTGAATATCTTTGGGTTGTGGAAAAAACAGATAATCTAAAAATGTCTTTTTGGGTTTTGATCGACATTTTTTTTACCATTTTCTGATATTTTATAGAGCAAACAACGAGCCCTAAAATCCTGTCTGAAAGCCCCTCGAAAGAAGGACAGTACAGCTGAGATTTGCAGTTAATAAGAAAATTGCGTTTTTGACCAGATGGTGGCCGTCCACAAAGATCAGATCACCTGATAAATGTACTACATTTCTTCATCAAATACATGTTGTGATATTTTATAAACCACACAAGTTTGAACTGGAACTGCAACAACTGAACGATTCTTTGTCAACTGATAAATAAAATGCCAATCACTTTGTAGTCAATGAATTAGTCTGAGGGATTTTTTAAGGGGAAGAAAAAAATGTTCATTCTCTGATTCCAGCTTTTTAACTTTTTAAACAGTATTATATCTTTTTTTGTGGACAAATGTCTGTCCATCCTGTGAGACATTTCAGTTGAGACCAATGTGTACAATTTGCCTGATAAGATAATTTCCTGCTGACATGGACCAGATGTGGTCAGTATTGCTTTGTGTACACTGTAATATACGTGTTTTATGTGTTTTGTGCAGGAGCTGGAGCTGGTGGAGGATGTGTGGAGGGGAGAAGCTCAGGATCTGCTCTCTCAGATCGCTCAGCTGCAGGAGGAGAACAAATCGCTGCTTACCAACATGTCCATCAAAGACCCGATGAGCGAGGAGGACCTGCAGAGACATGAGGGTGAGAAGTACCTTAGAGACTAAAAAACAGGAAATGAGGTGTAGTCTGTGGTGAGAAACTAGAGAAATGTTATTGACTTGCTAATCAGATCAAGGGCCATGATGGAGACCTGAAAAATGTTGCTTTTTGAGGGAAGCAGATTTTAATATTTTATCGTAAAGATTCACAGAACACTTTCTTGGCTGGTGTTTAGGCCTCCAGCAAAGTCCTTTTCACTATGTGTTACCTAAAAATCAATACGCAGTAACAGAAAATGAAGGGTATTGTTTACTTCCTGAAGTTTAGCAGGAAAGAATTGTATATTAGTGGAAGACATGATGTTAATTCTGCAGACAGTTTGCTTTTCCTGAATGTGCCTTCGAGCTTCAGCAGGTGTCTGTATTGACACTAAACTGTGAATTTCTTCAGACCACCAGGTGACACATAGTTTGCTTTGGTGGGTTTCAGCGCCAGTCTCATCAAGGTTTCCATTTGGATCCATTTTCCCATTTACCAATTCCCAATACAATAAATCAATTTGAAAATATAAAACATACATTTTTGGAAAACATTAATTTAAAAAGCAGGAATTTCAAATAAGTTTTGTATTTGAGATTGTTTTTTTTTTTTACACAGACATTCATTTTTACTGCAAATGTATTAATATATCATTAGTCTTCTTGATTGCTAATTATCATTATTGATCCTGAGAAAAGTCTTTAATTTAACACTCCTAAACCTACAGATAACCTGTAATACATTAGCATGTCAGTAGTGGATGGAAACACTTTCAAATTGACTTTGTCTTTTGGTGATTTTCTGGAAATTAGGTTAATCATTTGTGCTGTATTTGAGCAGAACCTTCGCTGCTTACTCTGGCTACATCTCACATGTCTGCCTTTCTGTTATGCACGCAGTATCTCACACAAACACACACACAAAGGAAGCCTTCTCTGTGTCTGACGGCGGGCCAGTCCCTGCATCAGAGTCCTCTTGGTGGCTTCACACAGAGGCCACAGTCACTCTGACACTCTGTGGACAGACCAGCCTCAGTTTACCAGCACACCTGCTGCACTCACACACAGAGCAGGGTTCCTTCTGCACCGCTGACTTCTCTCTGCCAATAAATGCACATCATAAAGAATAGAAAATGTCTCTAATAAAAGTCTACTGCCTGTTGTTGTGTGTGGCTTCCAGGTATGACAGAGAGAGAGAGGCAGGTGATGAAGAAGCTCAAAGAGGTGGTGGACAAGCAGAGAGACGAGATTCGAGCCAAGGACCGCGAGCTCACGCTGAAAAATGAAGACATAGAAGCAGTAAGGCCACAAACTCACCGTCAACAACAGCAGCCTGTGATGTTTTCTGCGTTAAACTGTGGATATTTTCATTCAGACATGCCGCACTGTTGCTCTCATGTAACTAAATCTCCAAGTGAGACTACAGAGGTGTGGTTAGATGGCCCAGATTGGTGTTAGCGTTTTCTTTGTCCACTTTTTATCACGATAGGTTAAAAAAAATCAATTTTGTCAATGAAAAACAACAATATCTAAGAGCTGGCAAGGTACTCTTTGACTGCTGTGGAAAAGCAGCCCCGTCAGACTACATTTACACATCTTCGTGTATTTTAGGAAAAGGGACATTTTAGATTATTCCTCTTGAACCAATCAACTGTGGAAAATAATTAATAGACCACCTGTTGTTTTCTTTTATAAAGACACAATGGGACTTCAGCATTGATCATTTTGTTTGAATTTTATCATAGTGAATAAATAATTAAAGCATCTTCTAAAAGACATGAAAAAAAAAAGTTCTATAATGAAATTGTAAAAAATGTCATATTCACTCTAGAAGGTGCTGCAAGGTGGAGCGGTGGTTAGCACTGTTGCCTCGCAGCAAGAAGGTTGCCGGTTCGCGTCCCGGTGGGGGCACCGGAATCTTTCTGCGAGGAGTTTGCATGTTCTCCCCGTGCAGCGTGGGTTCTCTCCGGGTTCTCCGGCTTCCTACCACAACACAGTCCAAAAACATGCTGAGGTTAATTGGTGATTCTAAATTGTCTGTAGGTGTGAATGTGAGTGTGCTTGGTTGTCTGTCTCTAAGTGTAGCCCTGTGACAGACTGGTGACCTGTCCAGGGTGTCCCCTGCCTTCACCCTGAGTCAGCTGGGATAGACTCCAGTCCCCTGCGACCCTAGTGAGGATTAAGGAGTGTATAGATAATGGATGGATGGATGGATTCTAGAAGGCAGAAACCGTATTAACATTATCACATTAGTCTGAAGTGGCTCATACTCTTCTTAACAATCAACATTTGTAATGCTGCAATCAGGAATTCAAGAGATGCAGCCTAATTGTTATCTAATGTCTCGTTATCAGGCATTTTAAATGTGTTTTCTTGTTTGTGTGCCCGACTTTCTCTGACCTACGCAGGGTGTTCTCGTGTTGTTTTGTGCACAGATGTGCACTTATTGTGGATAGATTTGGTGTCGAATCACCAAGAGACACCGTTGCAAAGTCACAGTGTGTAATTCAAACCCTGCAGCTCTGAAAGAAAATGATGTTCTGTGTTGTTTTCCAACCAAGGAAAAGGTCAGTTAAAGGGCACCACTCCAGACTGATTTGAACAGCAACACAAATCTGAGACGTAGGCGGCAAACCAGGCAATGAGTCAAAATGTCACAGAAAACGTTTCTCCACAACAGAGAGTGTTCACCAGGATGACTTTAAAAGAAATAATCACAGTCTGTGGTCTGAAGTCTGCCTCAGGTTTTGTTGTATCAGGTTCAGTTATCGTCTAGTGTGAGAATACAACAGTAGTAATATGGGCCACAGTACTTTGATTTAATGCAGGGGTTTGAACATGAGAAATATTCTTAAACAGTTTCAACAGGAGTTAATCAGTAGTTGAACATCATTTGGGATTCTTGCACTGAATCCATGGATTCTTTTTGTTCACCTCTTTGGCTGTGAAGCTGCTTTGGAAACCCCCTGGCACCACTCTTTACCAACTTCAGATAGGGAATGTTTGTGTCACCCAGTATCTGAAACTTATCAAAAATGAAAAAGAACATTCACACCCACTTCATGCTGTGATTGGCCAGCTGTGTGGAAGTGAGAGAGGAGTGAGGCATTGTTCTCCTTTCTGTAGTTTTCCTTTTAGTTTCAGTTTTTTGTGGCACTTCATGTTGTTTTCCATCCAAATGTGGTGCAAACATTTATAGCAGTGGGCCCCACAATTTGCTCTTTTGGCTTGTCTGTAGGACACACTCATCAGACACACCAGGGGATGTAATCATTTTGCGATGGCTTCAGTTGTAATGTCTGTTCCGAGCTACCAGAGGAGGCAGTCACTCAGACTACAAACAGTTCTGTGTTGGCAAGCAGAGAGCACTGGGGGGGTTTAGCTAGTAAAGGGCCTCCATGACAAAGTCCTCCGTGAGGCTTAATAATCTCTGGCTAACGCATGTGAAACCCAGTCAGGACTAATGAAGACCACGTACCTATGTCCCAGCAGTATAAGTAATGGGTGATTATGTGGACCGTAATATGTGTTTGACACTTCACCAGCAGTATCAACATGTGATCAATATAAAGTGTGCTCTAAGAACTGGGCTCATGAGAACATGCACAAAGTAAACAGCCTTTTGTGTACAACCTACACATTATCAATGCTTTCCTGGCGGGATTGTATGAAAATGGACACCCATGTTGCTGTTTTTATACAAAATCACATTTAACCTGTTAAAAATCATGCCATCTGTTGGCATACCTAAATTGAAAACCTTAGAACAGAATGCATAATTTACATCCTTTCTTTTAAAGGTACTAACTTTACATTTCTGAAAACTGCTTAGAATATGACTAAAACACAACAAAAGTATTTCAGGTCAAACAGGCTCAATGCATAGGTTTTTTTTTTTTTTTTTTTTT